GAAAAACATCCTTGGCTCACCGGTGCTGTAGGGCTGGCGGTTCTGCTGGCGGGCGCTTCGTGTCGCCGCCGCGGCTGCACGAGGAACGTGACTGAGGGGAGGGGACGGCTAATTGCTGCAGCGAGTCAAGGGCTGTTTAAGCAGCTAATTAATTCCTCCTAATCAGCCCTTGATCTGTTGAAAACTGCATGGCATTATCTCCTCTGCTGCAACACCTTGATAATTCCTGTCTGAATGGCCTTCATGGAGAACATATTTAAATAAACTCAATAGAGATTTCAGACAGATAGCAACTATAATTACCAGCTTGTACAAATTAAAACGTGGTTTGTTCTGTTCTTTTTCTCCTGCCTTCGCTGCCCAGAGCTCCCGCTAATCATGTTCTTGCTGCTGGTGGCACGCTGGTCCCCGGGGCGTTGCAGCACATGCCTTCGGAAAGCCTCTGCCGTGCCTGGTGCCGGGGCGGGCATTTCGGATGGGGCTGCGCACTGGGCACACAGCATCCTCACCACGTTTGGGAAGGGGAACAGCAGCCCCGTGGCTGAAATACCTGCAGCTTCCCTCCTCCTGTCTCTGCCGAGGTTTGCAGTCTGCTGGAAAAGCAGAGGTTTTCTCCCCGAGGAGCTGCAGGACACGTGCCTCGAGCAGCCGCAGGAGCCCACGTTGGAGCTCTCAGCCTGGCCCCGGTGCTCAACCAGCGCTGCCCAATAAACCCACCCCAAGCACTGCTGGCTGCAGAGGGCTCACACACGGTTTGTTAGGAGGGATGAGATCAGGCAGGCCACCCTCATTTCCTCAGCAGATACTTGGAACAGCCAGAATCGCTGGCTGCTCGGCGTTTGCCAAAGGTCAGCCAGCCCCAGGGCTCCCAGCCCCGCGGTGTCCGTGTGCTTTCAGCCCGCTCGGTTATTTCTGCCCCGCATCGTGGCGTCCTCCCCGCTCTCACGTAACTCCTGTGAGTGCCTGAGTCAGAGTTTGGGTGCTCGGGCGTCTCTCTTTTCTCCCTGTCTGTTAGATAAATGCAATAGCTGCAAGCAAGGTCATTTTCTGGCACCCAAGTGCTGGCAGAGAGCAGGGAATGTCATGCTGCTTTAATGAAGGATTTCAGGGATTCGGAATGAGAAAATTGATTTTTCATAGCAGGGGAACGATTTGGTGCCCCTGGTCTCTGGAGGAGCATTAAGGGGACTGTCAGATTTCCTACACTCTCGTGGCATTACGAGCTGGCAGGGGCATGCCTCCCGCTGCAGGAGGTGTTTGCACGGAGCCATCAGAGCACACGTCGGGGTCTTTCCCAACCCAGCAGCAGCGTGGAGCCCAGCATCCGTGGGAAGCTGGCCCAGGAGAGATCAGGCTGAAGGGGAAAGCTACAAAAATTGCTTAGGTCTTTCTTGTCTTAAGGTTTTTGAGTTTGAGCTGAATTGTCGACACATCCAGGGCTCACTCTGTGCACACACATTGTCTTGGTACTGGGGTGCACAGATGCTCCGGGGAACTGATTATTCTTCCTCTAGGTTTTTCATGAAATGGTTAAGTTTTGTGTCCTTCAGTGGGCTGTTTCCTTGCCCCTACATGGTGGGGTGAAACCCTTAATACTGTGAGACAGGTACAAGAGGGACAACGTATCCTATTCACTGTCATCTTACGTCCAGCTCAGACATGTGCATTCACCAGGGCAGGAGCATCCCCAGAAGCAGGCAGAGCATCTCCCCGAGTGGGCAGCAGCTCTGGGATTTCCCAGGACATGGCCACAGCCTCACCACCCCGATCCCAGAGAGCTGGGAAGCAGCTGCACACCTCGGCCCTCCAGTGCCTCAGTTTCCCTTTGTGAAAGAGAGCTTCTGATCCATCCCAGCCCACCAGGCACACCGCCTGCCTAAATTCAGTAGAGCCCACCCAGTGTTGTGGTGCTGTGGGGCAGCGTGAGGACGTCGGCCAGCTGATTCAGCAGCCTTTGGGGTGTCTGGTTTCGTTCCCTACCTCTGGGGCCAGCCAGATATAGAAGGGGAGTCATGCGAAACAGAACAAAGTCTCCGTTTCAAAGCTGGGGTTGAGCAAATTAAAATGTAGCACGTTCAAAAGCCAGCTTCCTTGGATGGCAGACAGAAAAAAAAATAAATCAATTTCCTTGAAACAAATACTAAATATTAATGAGAGGATATGGTCTGCCATGCACACAAAGCTGTAAAGAGCATTTCCCGTGGATCAGCAGCGGAGGCAAGCTCGTGAGATGAAATTGCTTTTCCAATGGCTATTTGTGGCGCGTCTCGAGGTGGCTCGGGAAGGTTTACCCACCCCAAAAAAAGGAACAGAGAGCTCCGAACGTTTCCTTCTTCCTAGCAGGGCGGCCACGGGGGATGCGTGCCGGTGCTTTCAGTTCTGTTTACGCACTTGCCCAGGCGGTTGGGGAGATGGCTGGGTTCGTGTTCGGAGGAGGCAGCCCCGTGTTACGCACGGGGGGGAGCGATGCCCTGGGAGCAGCAGCCTGCCAAAATGCAGAACGCGGGGCCCAGGAGCCCACCCGGCTTTGCAGCCACATCCACACGCTGATTTATTCCGATAACGAGCTTTGGGGGAAACATTCACAACCTGCTTACAGCCATCAGCGAGTTTTCCTAAAGCGAAAGCGCAGGGCTTTGGAGAAAGAGCCTTATTTTTAGTTTCTATTGCTTTGACCCCCGGGTAAAGTCAGGAAACTTTGTGTTGCTCCATTTCCCCGTCCCGATGCCGTGCACGGCGGTGGGAGCAGGGGCTGCCAGCCTTGGCCGGGGAGCAAGCACCGTGCCAGGAATAGCTGCAGCCACGGAGGGTGCCAAAACCATCTTGCGTCCACGGCGCAGTAAATAAAAACACGTCGGCTGATGGTTTCATAAAACCATGAAGCCAGCTGCGTAGCCGTAGGTCGGAGGAGAGCTAATATTAGCGAGCAGATGACTAAAATTAGAAAAGCAGAACCGAGCCAGAACTAATTAGCTGCTTGAGGAATAGAACCAGAACCGGAACAAATTAATTGTTCGGAAGCCGAAATACCAGCGCGGGGCCTGGCAGGAGCCCCCCGGGAAGGCTCCACGCAGGCTCTCGCTCAGCGTTGCTGCTGGTGACTCATGCGTGGGCTCGTGGCGTGCTTGGAAAAAGAGTCCTGGGTCCTATCTGGAGGCTGCAACAGCCAAATACAGGTTGATGTTTCGCTCCTAGCCGGGAGTTTGCACGATGCAGCACGAGCTCGGCTGCACCGGGAGCGGCACGGAGCCAGCTGGTGCCCCGAAGGGCTCCAAAACAGGCTCCTTCCTTCTGCCCTGTCTTGCTCTCTCGCTGCCCAGATGAGCGTTTGTAGCAGTGAGGGTAATTACGAGGCCACCTGGATGGCTCCTGGAGGCCTCAGCTCTCAGCCTTAGCTCTGCCACCGGCTGAGATGCTTTGCCGAGCTCTCGGAGCGAGCCCGGAGCTGCCACCCGTGCAAACGCCGCCAGAATAATTTCCAGGAGGAAATTAGGAGGCTCGCAGAGATAGCCGGCACGCGGCTGTGGTTTTCGGCTGTGACTCAGTCACCTGTGTGGTCACTTCTTTTCCTTTCCAAAGGTGGTAACTCACCCTCTATTTCTTCTTTCCCCTCTCGCAGCGCTCAAACAGCAGCTCCTGTTTTAGCAGCAGCATGACGCACGGTGTTTTAAATTCAATTTAGAATACAAACTATTTATACCAGCCAGGAAAAGGCAGTGAAGCAGCTCTCTCTGTCATGAGTGGATTTGTAATTTCGGAGCAATCATTGCATAACTAATTGAATCAGCTCTCAGCATGTGAAATCGGCGCCCTGCTTATCGGAGGTTTTCATCTCGCTCCCCTCCCGAAGGCGGCTGTCCCCCCTCCGCCACCGACACTTTGTGTGTCTGCAGCAGCCTGGGAAGAAAGCGGTGCCTGCAAAGCCGCCTTTCCCTGCTCGCTGCTTCAACAGAGCCACTAAATTACCAAATTCACTCGGAACGGGTGAATAACCGGGTTGCGGGTGCCCCCCAAAGCTGCCCAGGCTCCGTGCGAGGGAGCGGAGAGTGTTTGAAGCTAACGAAGAGCCGGCCGTGTCGGAGGAGTAAATTGATGTTGAAACGCTCCCCTGGCTTCCACCAGGGTGTGGAAAGGTAGAAAACATTCCAGCTGTAGGGATTCTGATCGGGTTGGGAGCGAGGTTTGGGGATGTGATGACTCGGGTGGGTCCAGAGCTGCGGATTTGGGGAGCGGCTCCAGCCACCCGCATGCAGCAGCCTCGCAGGGCGAGGGGGCACCTTTTCAGCTGCATTTTGGGGCAGGGGGCTGTCAGCTCCTGCTGCTGGGAGCTGGGGAGAGCGCTGCAGATTTTTCTGGAAGAGGGCTGGGAGGGGTTGCCCCTGCCTGGTAGGGTCTGCGTGGCTGGGGGCAGGTCCCAGCCTGGGAAATCAGAGCTGGGGGGCCCTGCGGTCCGTCCCCTGCTCTGGGATCTGTTTTCCTTCCTTGCAGGAGAGCAGTGCCAGGCTCCATCACACGAGCCCGTTGGCTTCGATGGCCCTGGAGCAGCCTCAGCCTTGCTGAGCGCCCCCAACCACCCCTTTCTTTCCTTTTGTCTCTTCAGGTGGCGAGATGGGAGCACAAAACGCGAGCGCTCAGCCGGGTCTGCGGCTCTCCACACACCGCCTGTTACTGCCTGGGCACTGTGATCCTGATGCTCAACTGCGTGCGGAGCCACTGGTAAGGATCCAACTCTTTGTATGGAAACCCAAAGAGGTGTCCCCACAGGGCATGGGGACTGAATCCAGCCCCAGCGTGTTGGTTTTACCCGGATCCCTTCAGCCAGCAGATTTATTCCAGGGTTTGGAACACCCCAGTCAGGCAGAGGGATGCAACGAGGTGGCTGTGGGCAGGAGAGCAAACCATCAGCACCCATCGGGTGTCATGGATTTTCTTGCCCCACTCTTTTGGGGCAGTTTCCCCTGCCCTGCGTGCAGCCGGGTGGCAGGAAGGCTGCGGGCACGTACCCAAGAGCAGAATCCTTTAATTTTCTCGTGAAAACAATGACCAAAATGAAGCCTGTTTTTAAGAAACCCCCATTTCCTGTGCAGGAGAGTGGGATTATCTGTGCACTTAGCGAGCAGCCTCTTCAAACTCTTATCTGCGATCTGTTTAAACACTCCCTGTGCTAATAGTGCTGTGTGACTGATGCGCCCTCCACCACGGGAATACGTCCGCTGACGTTCTGAGTGCAGCACAGAGGTTTGCTGCAGACGATTTCCCCGATGCCAGCAATTTATCTGCGATCTGATAGGCTTTATCTTCAACGCTGTGAGGAGAGGCAGGCTCTCTACTAAATTTCCAGATTCAATTATGCCAGGGTCAGAGCTAATGGGTTGTTTAGTACTCCGGGTAATTTCCCAGGCACGGAGATCTCAGGTTGGAATTTGCACATGTATTTAAGAGCTCTGCCTTCCTGGAAACGACACCGAGACCTGCCCTTGCCCTTCTGCCTTTGTCACCGCTGTTTCTTGTTGCAGAAAGCCCAAGAAAGCTCGCAGTGAATGTGGCCATCGCTGAGTGCAGGCGGTGTGGGGCTCAGTGCCCGTAGCTCGGTGACACGGCACGCTTGGATTTCGCTGGGGAATGCCTCGGCAGTCTCAGGCACTGATGACACAGCTGCTTGTTGTTTGGGAAGCAGTGCAAAGCCTTGAGCCCGGCCTTTAATTAAAAACACAGCTGATGGGGGGGACGATCCCAGCTCCTGGGGGCTGAGCGCCGATGGGGAGGGTCAAGGAGTCCTGAGCTGTCCCAGCACTGCACCCCAAGCTCTCCAAGTCTTTCCCCTGGGAGCCACGGGATGCTTTCAGGCTCCATCCCCAGCTCCGTGAGCCCTCCACAGCCCCAGCCAGGAGAGGCTGTGCTGTTTGGGAAGGCGTGATCCTGCCCCCTGCTCACACATGAAGGCAGCAGCCAGCCCCAAACTGGGCTCCAGCTGCCCAGAGGAGGACTCGTGGATGCGGGCACTGCCATCTCAGGGCTGCTTCCACCAGGAGGGGCACAGTTCTCTTCCTTTCACTTTCCCCTTTAATCATTTTTTTTTTCTCCAAGTCACTTCTGCTCGGCTGCACTGATGTTTTTGTGGGCAGGGGCTGCTGGGGAGCGCTTGGGGAGCCCACAGGCTGTCTCCTTTGTTTTTAAAGACCTGCTTCCTCTTCACAGCTGTATTTTTGACAGGCTCCCAGCCAGAGGTGGAGGCAGGGGAGGGAAGAGCAGACAAATTCTGCAGGTTGGCATCTGGGCTGCAAGCTCCGACGCCTCCCCTTCCTCGATCTTGTCCCCAGGTCGGTGCCGTGATGTTCTCATGCATTTTTCCATCCAAAGGGGTACCTTGGTGGTAAGAAAAGAAATATTCCATGCTTATTAAGCAATTAGGTGCTTCCCAGCCCTGAGCTTCGTTATCAGCCCCGGCGTGTTTCTGAGAAGCAATGCAGAGTGACCTGTGACCGGAGGGGACCTGCTTAGTCAACCGCACGAGGCAGGCACCCTTAATTGCTCCGGAGCAGCGATGATTTTCATGATGTTCGTTTGGCAAGAAGCAGGAGCTTCTTACTGGAGCTCTTATCAGGGAAAACAACTCCTGAACTTCTGCACTGCCTGCCCGCACTGTGTTCATGGCTGTTACCCTGTGACACGGGACATGCCCCTCTGTATCCTCCTGCACATTTCCATCCCGTGTCTCTCTCTGGGTTTAGCCACCTTGTTGGCATCCCTTCCTGCTCTGACTGTACAATAAGCCAGGGGTGCTGCCTTTGGAGCTGTCCCCTGCTCCCCTTTGTATGCTTTTTCAAACTACTCATCCCACAGCAGGCGTGTGCAGGTGGTTCTGTACCTGGGGAGCTTCCCACCTTTGGGGCCTTGGGGTGTTTTTCCAAGCTGTAACAGCACCACCCGCACAGTGTGCCAAAAGGGGGATTTGGCAGATGCAGAGCGAGGCCCCTGGGGTGTCTGGGTTGTGGTGCCTTTGCTCCAAGCACGCCCTGCAGAGGCTGAGCAAGGACAACACCTTTTCAACAGAAAGAACCCACCCTGGGACCCGATTCAGCCCTGGGAGGGGCCGGGTGTCATTCAGTAGTGCGCTTCTTTTACGCTCAGCTTGTTTACTTCCTGGATTTGATATCAAGAACAAGCGTGTTGTAAACGGCATCGATCTCCATATCGCAGCGTTTTGTCACCACGCTCATGATGGGAACTGAGCGTGACCCACAGCAGCCCACGTCCCCTCCGACCCACGCTGCCAGCAGCAGGCTGAGCGTGGCTGGGAAAAGCTCCGGGTGGACCAAAACACCTCGTGCCCCCCACGGACCCGCTGCCGGGCAGGGAGAGAAGCTGCTCCAGCCCCCAGCTGACCTAAATAACACCCACCCCAGTGCTGGCAGAAAGGCAAAGTCATTATTGGCAAAAGAAGCTGTGAAGATGATGACCGGGCTCACAGTTGCTGGTGGTATCGGCGGGATGGTTTTAGGCTTTATTTCCTTTTTTTTTTTCTTTTTTTTAACGAGCGAGGTCTTTTGTTGCGGCGTGCAGGCAGCGGTGCTTGCTGCTGGCCACCGCTGGACCATTTTCCCCCTGCTGCCTGCTTTTGCCAGGGGGAACAAAGCCTCCAGCACGGGGACGGGGACATGCCGCGCAGCCGCCTGCGCCCCCGACGCTTCCCGCTGCCTGCCAGCCCCCGTCCCACTTCTGCCCCAGTTGCACTTGCCCAGTTTCCAGGCTGATTTGGGGGATCGGCCGAAGGGAGCGCTGCGGCAGCGACCCAGTTTGCTCGACGAGGTCTTTGCTCTGCTTTGTGGGGAAGGGGTTACAAAACGTGGTCGCTGTGTGCCACCGAGAGAGGCCCAGAGAGCTGAAAAGCTCAGCTCTTCTCTCACCACATCTCCAGGCTTGCTTCGTGCTCTGTGTGGCTTTTGGGGATGCGTTGGGGCTGCAGGTTTGGTTAACTTTCTGTTTTTGCAATATAAGCTCCTGTTTGTGCAAACCTGGCCACGGGTCCCCTCCACATCCCCACGGGAGGAGCGGTGCCCCCAGGATTCCCCTTGCCCTCGAGGCTGAGCACACTGCGGGTTAAAAACCACTTCCAGCTGTGTGACACCTCCGTCCCCGCGCTGCGGGGCCATTTCCAGAGTGCTTTTCCAGTTCATGTGCTTTATTCCCACCACGCAGCACCGTCTGCACGGCAACAGCCGAGTGCCTGAGCAAACGCCCTTTGTTTTGGGAAAGCAGCGCCGGTTGCCTTGGCATCCTGGGGCAAACCCCACTGACGGGGAGGTTGTGCAGGTGGCCACGGGGCTGCTTGCACCCCTCGGGGAATCAGCCAAATCTGCCAGTTGGGCCAAAGCTGCTGGATTTGGGCTTTTTGGATGGAACAGGGAGCGGGTGCCTCTGGTGTTTGTGCTGGCAAACCCGCAGGTACGCATGGGGAGATGCTGGGGGAAGCCCCATTTCCCCCATTTCCATTCCCCAAAGCTGGGGGGCACCCCGCAGGCCCCCTCTACCCCACAGTCACTGGCGTCCTCGTGACAGCAGCCGGGGATGTGATTAAAGTAGGTCACAGCCCATCCATCCCTGCCCTGGGAGGAGGGCAGCTCCTCCCCACGACACTCGCTCCGCTCGGCGCACAAAAGCGTTTCCAGGTACCAGGACAAAGCCCGGCTGCAAGCAGCATCCTCTCGGGTGCCGAGCCGGGACGCTGCCTTGCAGCACAGCCAGAAATAAACGCTGGGATGAACGTGACTCAGAGGCACATGGAGAAAGGGACCGGAGATGGGTGGCCGCGGGACTCGTGCCACACGACGACGGGGACGGCGCCCGCCTCGTCCTCCCCCTGCCAGGAGGGTGAGCCGTGGCCCCTGGGGGGCTCCCCCGCACGGATGCCACAATCACTGCATTTGCTGACGGCTCCGTGCTGCTCGTTGTGGCCTGGCATCATAAATTGCTTGAAAGGTTTATTTACCAGTGCTGAAAACTCCGGCGCGCATCATGTTTAATGCAAATAATGTGTGTCTAGGAAGGTGGAAAGCAGCACTGCAGGGCAAGGCAGCCCGTTAGCTCTGCGCAAACGCCTCCCTGCCTAGCTGCAAGCCAAAAAACAGGGCATGAAGCAGGGCACGAAGCAGGGCGTGCTGCTGAGGGTAGCTCCTGCCACCCGTGAGAAGGGAGGATGGCATCAGCTGGAGCAGGGGACGCGGCTTTGCCAAAGCAAACAGCCTCACGTGCTGGTTGCAAAACCTCCAGTTCGTGCTCTCGAAGCCACCTTTGTGCTTCTCATGCTCCGAGGCCGAGGCAGGTCACGAGCACAGGATAGGGGAGCTCCAAGGATGCAAGATAGCGTTAATCCTGCTAATCCCGAGCAAAAAAGCAGCCTCTGAGTACCACGCCATACCTGCACCTCCCTGCTCACACCTTTTTGCATCCCCTCAGGGCGATGGTTTTCCATCCAAACCCCGGCAGTGCTGGTAGCAGGGACGCAGGTTTGGGCTTCCTCAGAGGGGACGCTTTTATTATTGAAAAACAAACATCAGGGATGCGATGGGAAGGGCTGTGAGGCTGCTGAGTTGTGCCTTCCCGTCAGCACTGATTTTAAACAAAACCAGGATGAACCTGGAGAGCAGAGGGCAGCGTGCTGGGTCACGGAGGAGCTCTCCAAGGCTCCTTCCAGCTCCCTGCCCAGCAGAGTACATTTATTCTGTGTTTTGCTTCTTTGCTCTAGTCCGTGCTGAAGGATGAAACGGCTTGCTGTGGGGGCCTAAAAGCTCCCAGAGAGTAGGAAACCTGGTAGGAACGAGCTCCAAGGAAAACAAGAGGTATCAGCCGGGTCTGTGCACCGTAAGGTTTAAATATCATCCTGGGCTTTGCTTGGCGAGTGCCTCGCCAGCCGGCCTCGAGCCTTTGCAAGGTGCATCCCCAGCTCTGTCAGCTTCCCTGGCAGGACTCTCAGCTCCAATTTGGGCAGCAAAGAAAACCAAGGGATTTGCAAGGCTCGCAGAGCTGGACGTTAGGAAAAAAAACCCTCCCAAGCAGCGCAGATAACATCACACGAGCTGGCAGCCCTGAAACCACCGGGTCTGTTCCACGCGCAGAGCGGGGAGCACGAGGAGCAAGAGGCAGGCAGCGATGGCCAGGGGCGCAGGAGTGCTGTTATTCCGCTTGAATTTCAGCCTCCAGGGTGCTCATTAAAACAAAACAAAACAAAACAAAAAACGCTCCGAGTTTCCTACCTCGTGTGTCAGCAGCATGTGGAGAGGCGCTGCACGCAGCTCCGTGGGGCTCTTATCTCATCTGCCTGTTATTAACGGGCATTTCTGAATCACAGCCTTATCTTGTTTGGAGCCCTCCGCTCGCACCGGAGCTATGCGAGGCGCCAGGGCTGCCAAGCCCTGCTCCTGGGCAAAGTTCGGGTGGCCCAGGACAGGGGGGTCACGGATTTTACGCTCGCAAACAAGCGTTTGGGAGGTCAGACCCGAAATGCCTGCCTAAGCCTGGAGCCGAGAAGCGCAGCTCCAGCATTTTCCTTTCGCTGCTCCCGTCCTCCCCCTGACTGTCAGGCCTCAGCCGTGAATCACTCCTGGGCACGTGGCGAGCCCACGAAAGCTGCAAAATGTTTTGGTGGAGAGGAACGGGGGTGGGAGCACGAGATAACCCCGGGGGATTGTTCCCCAGTCCTCCAGGTCCCATGCTGAGGCATCGCAGCCTCCAGCGTTTGCCAGGGCGTTTTTGTGCATTTTATATTTATTTTTTTTTTGCATCATATTGTGCCTCGGTGGGGTTGACATTTCCAGGACATTTCCAAGACATTTCCACCAAGGGTTGCGAGTTAAAATAAGTGCCCCAGGTCAAGCCCTGGCTGCTCACCATTGCTTCTCCCACTGGAAAAGGGGATCCTGAGAAATGTCAAAGGGCCCTGAGAAGTGTCTCCCCCAGCAGCATCCTCTCCCAAAAGCTCTGCCTCTCCCGGAGGGGGGTGATGTTATTAACAGCCCTTGTTGTCTCTCTGACAGCTTCACAGAAGCCATGAAGAGCCAGCCGAAGCTGGAGGGCTTGGACAGCCCCTGGGCTTATTGCTCAGGCTTGGTCATCTTGGCTGTAGGGACCTTGTTTGTCATCTCCAGCTTCTTAGCACTGGGATTCACCGGGACTTTCCTAGGTAAGCACGAAAAAATTCGGCAGCCGAACCTGAAAGTTCATTGAACCCTCAACAGGGGTCTCTTGGCCGGGCAGAGCCCTGTAGGAATTTCATCCTCCTTGTCTCGGGGGAGCTGTTAGGTTTGTTCTGGCTGTGTGATACCGCAGCGTGATCCAGCCACGCCGTCACCTTGCACGGAGCTGCTCGTTGCACAGCCGGCCTGATCGCCTCCGGTGTCGAGCCTGAAATCGTAGAAATATGGCTAATTATCTCGGAGATCAAATGTCCTGCAGAAAGAGCAGCCCAAGGGCAGAGCTCCTGAGCAGGTCAGCACCTGCATGGCAGGGAGAAGGAGGAGGAGGAGGAGGAAGGGGAGGAAGAAGGAGAGGTAGGAGCCATCCAGGCGCCCTGCGCTGAGCCCCCAGCTGCCTGATACGCGCTCGGGCAGGATCTCATTTGCTCTTCCCCTCTGCAATAAACCTGACATCCGCTGACAGATCCTTTTATCTGCCGCTTTCTGGCAAAAGGCAGTTTCCACTGTGCCTGCTTTCCCATTTAGAGAGTAATTCTATTAGCATTGTTGACTTTAGAAACACGCCAGTATGTGTGGAATTCATAAAAATAAAATCGAGACGGGAACAATAAATATCGAAGGAGAGGGGCAGCTCCCGCTGGCTGCAATAATCACAGCCCCGGCTTCCACCCCGCATTTAGGCTGTGCTTTTGCAAGTGCTTTACAAACCAGATTCAATTAGCTCCTGCAGCGTCTCCAGGAAGAGGAGAGGGAGGTAACAAGCCTTCCTGGTTTCAAGTGGAGGCGCGAAGAGACGCCTTGGGTTGGCCAAGATCCTGCCGCCAGAAATAGAGCCCAGCACTCCTCAATGTGGGCTCCTGGCTCCGTGTGGCACCCCTGGACCCCAACCACCAGGCTGTGGCTCCCTCCCAGCTCGCCCACAGCCCCCCGGAGCGATGCTGTGCGTGGAGATGTGTCCGGGGAGGCCGAGCACAGGAGCACCCAGTGGCCGGAGCTGCTTGAGCGCTCCTGAAGCCCGGCCAGCTCCGGGGCTGTTTACGTAAAGCCTGATTCAGCCGACCAGGAGGAGACCCACTGGGCTTGAACCACCAGGGAAAAAAAAAAACAAACGAATGAGTCAGGCTCGGCGTAAGCAGGGAGCGTGGCCCCGGCCCCCTCGGTTTTGGCACGGCCGGCGGTGCCCCCCGGGGAAGGGAGGAGGCGGGTGGTGGTGGCCCACATCGGGCACTGCTGCTCCGTCCTGCACAATGGCTCGTGCCGAGCCTTGGCGTGACGCAGCAGGGAGCAGGGCCAGCGCTGCCAGCTGGAACGTGACGGGGACGGCAGGGCACAGCCAAGCCACCGCAGCGCTCGTAGGGGCGGGAGGCGCCGGGAGCATCCATCCTGGGGACAGAAGCTAGTGGTCAGCTCCAGCGAGCCCCCAAACTCAGCTGAGTATGATATTCAGTGTGGTTTCTACTGACACACATGGTCTGCAGGGCTCAGGGGTCTCACCTGGGTTGAGCACTGTCCCCTTGCACGCCCAGCTGGTGTCCTGGGGCTGCGGTGGGAGCGGGGTCCCCGGCAGTGTGGGCACTTCTGGCTGTGGGTAGCAGGGAGCTGTGCTTCTTTGGCACCGGGTGTCATTGCATCATCCAGCTGCTTCTCACAGCCGGTTGAGCTCAAGAGGAGTTTAGAGAGCCTGAGATGCCTGAGCACTTAGCGAATTTGCTGGGACAGCTTTTGACCCTTCCCTCTCCGGTTTTCCTAAAGCAACAAGGGCTGAGCCATGCGGGACATGGAGACTGCATCGGGGCTGCCCAGGAGGACCCCTCTTTAGCAACTTTAAGCTCCAGAGCACAGCACTTTGTCTCTTAAATGCAGGCTAAATGGTTCACAGGAGCCACCCTTCTGCCACAAGCCTTTCTGTGCCACCCCATTGCCCCCAGGACCAGTCCCAGCCTCCGTTTGCATGCGGCCCCTTGCCACGACAGCCCCGACCTCCTTCTCCCCTGCAGGACCCCGCTCCCACCCTGCCGGCGCCAGCGTGCCGATTCGGAAAGCGCCCTGTGCTTGCTGGAATTCAGTTCAGGGCCGTTTGCCCGATTTTCTGACAAAGGCAAGAACAAGTGCTTGGCTTCCCGGAGGCTGGGGGCACCCAAGAGGCAGCTCTGAGCCCATCTCTCCGCACCCACACGAGGTTCCTTGCGGTTTTGACCAACATTTCAAGTGAACCAAACTCAACCAAGCTCTGTTAGTGGGTTACGGTGGATCTGGTGGCTCTGAAAAGGGGCAGTGGAGGCACTTCGGGCTGCATTGTGCTCAGGAGGCCATGGGAAGCTTAACGGGGTGCATCGCAGGGCTTTCTGCTGCCAGGATCCAAAGCAACCCCCAGAGCAGCATCTCCCCTTGGGGGCAAGGTGATAACACCGACCTCCAGCCAAAAAAATGCACCCAAATAGATCCCAAAGTGCCTTGCCCTGACAGGGGGCAGATTCCTGTTTCGAGGGCTTGATGGAGACGCAGGAGATGCCCAGGCTGAGGCTGATGCCCAGTCCCTTCCCTCAGCACCTGCCTGGCTGTGAGAGCCTTGCAGATCCTCTCCTCCGGTTGCGTTCCCTTTGTGCAAACCTCCCCGGTGCCAGCGTCATTTGGGGCGCGAGGTGTTCAGCCCCGAGGCGAGGGCGGGCAGGGATAATGAAGCATTTTGACACAGAAGAAAGCGCAGCAACGGCAGCGCTTGGGGGGTGCTTTCTACCCGAACAATCTCCGAGACGCATTGCCAAGTAACTGTGAGAACATATAGTATAAATACCAGGCAATTATCTCACTTAGTGGCCTGTAGTTAAAGCCCAAAAGCGTTGTATAATTGGGCAGGCGCTGTTTATCCTTGGAAAGAAATGTCTTAGCACCACGTGAGGTCAAAGAAATTACCCGGCGATCCAGGTAATAATAATAACCTTGAATACTTTGCACTCCCATAATGTGCTTTATCTGGATTTCCAAGCGCTTTCTCACCATACATTAATCCTCGCCCCCACTGCGCTATGAGAAATACCGATATTATGGTCGGCACACAATGGGGCTGGGAGGAGACGTGCCCAAGGTCAGGGAACGGGCTGGTGGCAGCGCTGGGGACAAAACTCCGGGTCCTGAGCTGGTGGACTGCTGGCTTGTGCCGTGCCTTGTGCTGCGGACACGGAGCAAAACCCTTGCTGGGCTTTGTGGTCTTATTGTAAGAGCAACGGGAGGCAGGGCTCTGCATCCCAGCTCCTTTGCCCCCCCCCGAAATGCCGTTCACGAGCTGCACATCTCCTCACCTGTCATTTTATCCAGGCACCCTTCAGCAGCACCGAAAAGATGACTCCGCGCTGGATGGGAAGGTTGAATGCTGACAGCTCTGAGAGCTGTCCTCATTACGGATGACAATCACCTCCTATCATCATCATCATCATGCCGATAATTGAGTGTTTTGTAGGCAGAGGTGCTATTTTCTGAAATTCTGAGAACTTCTCTGAGCCACGAGATAAGGGTGGCACTGAGAGAGGGTGGCAGCAGTCTTGATTGTAGCATCTCAAAACACCATTACAGTGCTCCGGGCTTATTTCCCCATTAAATGGCTTCGAACCTATGCGCTCGCTTCCTTGTCGAGTGACTTTAGAGGGGCAATTTTCAAAGGGGAAAGCAAAATCAGGCAGGTGGGACCTGGAGAGCTGTGTCCTGGGGAGGAATGTAGCTGCCGCAGCCTCGCTGCACTGCACAAACCTTCCTCGTGGGCAAAGAGCCATTCCCGGAAAAGCTGATAGACACGGAGTAAACAGTCAGCCTATTTACTGCAGCTTTCTGAGCCTGCAAGCCAGCAGTAAAACCCTTCATTCACCTTCATTTTCCTTTGCTCTGCCTCCCCAGCAGGGATACCCCAAGGAGGGCACCGCGTGCCAAGCCCCCCGAGTCCCCAAAATTCTTGCCTTAGTGGATCCTAACGAGAAACCCTCTGCTCGCCCTGCAGGTGATTACTTTGGCATCCTGATGGAGGCAAAAGTCACCAGCTTCCCCTTCAGCGTCCTGGACAATCCCATGTACTGGGGCAGCACGGCCGTCTACCTGGGCTGGTCCCTCATGTGAGTATGTGCCCCCACCGGCAGCGCTATGGGGTAAATGTGGGGTCTGTGCGCTATGGGGCAGGCACAGGGAAGGTGTAAGGTGCTGGCTTGGACCAGGGGCCAAGGAAATTGTTGGCGATGGGAAATCAGCAATGAAATGGCCGGGGAGTAAAATGGCAGGGCAAGCACAACGTGCCCTGGCTTCTCATTTCCTGGCTATTTTTGTGCCTCTGAGATCTTCTGCTGTCATGAAAGACTTGCGGCATTAGTGGTAGAAAAATAAATAACGGCCAAGCGCCGGGGAGAGGAAACATCAGCAAATGCTCTGCCGCCGAGCGGGGTCCTTGGCAGGCTCTGCA